ACACTCTTCCTCTCACTGACATCGATGATGTGGCACTACTCCTCCCACTGACACCAATGATGTGGCACTACTCCTCCCAATGCAAAATTACAGTTATGAAGTAACAACAAACATAATTGTATGGTTGGGGGTCACCACAACATGAGGAACTGTATTAAAGGGTCACGGCATTAGGAAGGGTGAGAACCACTGATCTAAAACCATTCCATTGTAGCTCTGGCTGTATGTTTAGGGTCGTTGTCATGCTGGAAGGTGAATCTCCGCCCCAGTCTTAGGTGTTTTGCAGACTCTAACAGGTTTTCTTCTAAGATTTCCCTGTATTTGGCTCCATCCATCTTCCCATCAACTCTGACAAACTCCCCTGCCCCTGCTGAAGAAAAGCATCCCCACAACATGATGCTGCCACCACCATATTTCACGGTGGGAATGGTGTGTTCAGTGCGATGTGCAGTGTTAGTTTTGCGCCACACATAGCATTTTGCTTTTAGTCCAAAAAGTTCAATTTGGTCTCATCTGACCACATGTTTGCTATGTCCCCCACATTGCTTCTCAAAAACTGCAAACAGGACTTGTCTTGGTTTTTTTTTCAACAATGGTTTTGCACAATTTTAAAGCATGACATGTTTGGTATCTACAAAAAAATCGGGTTATGTATTGTGTTTTTTTGTATTCAAATTCCAAAAAGTGTATTTTTTCCAGTAAGATTGCATTTGAAAAACTGCTGAGCAAATACAGTGTGACATAAAATATTGCAACACCTACCAATGTATTCTCTAGGGCCTCATATATAATGTTTGGGGGTTCTAAGAAATGTTATAGCAAAAAATATTGATTGTTACATGTAAAAAAAAAAAAGTGCCAGAAAAAGTTTGGTCTTCAAGTGGCTATGACAGACTGACAGATGAGGCTGGGCGATGTAATCAGCAGGACTTCTGTTTAGTGCAGTATGTGCACGGTGATGAATGTTCGGAAAGCATTATGTCTGCATTCCAGACATTCATCTCTGGGCGCATACTGCACTAAACAGAACTGCAGGGTGCACCGCTCAGCCTTGTCTAATTACAAAAGCTGTCAGCCTCTCAGAATTTGACAAGCTGCAAGCAGTGGAGCTGGATGGTGCCCCGTGCCCTCCGACTGAGGCTAAATGCTGGAGCCCCATGCATGGGGCTAAATGCACAGGGTGTATGAGGCCTTAGCCAAAGTGGATTATCCTGTTCCCCTCTCTGATTTACTTTCCGTTTATTATGGGGACCTGACTTGCCAACATTCAATGCTCTTACTTTCCACTGAGACAGTTGCTTTATATGGTAAAATAGCAGTTGGTAGGGTTAATCGTTATAATGGGATAATGACATTTTACCCATATACTCATCTGATTAATATTATTTAGCATATACACTATATTGCAAGTATTGGGACACCCCTCCAAATCATTGGATTCAGGTGTTCCAATCACCTCCATGGCCACAGGTGTATAAAATCAAGCACATAGGCATGCAGACTGCTTCTACAAACGTTTGTGAATGGGTTGCTCTCAGGAGATCAGTGAATTCAAGCATGGTACCTTAATAGGTGGCCACCTCTAGAATAAGTCCAATAGTCCTTGCTGCTAAATAGTCCACTGTCAATTGTTAGTGCTATTATAACAAAGTGGAAGCAGCTGGGAACAACAGCAACTCAGCCACGAAGTCGTAGGCCACGTAACATGACAGAGCAGAGTCAGCGCATGCTGAAGTGCACAGTGCGCACAAGTAGTCAACTGTCTGCAGAGTCAATAGCTAAAGACCTACAAACTTTATGTGGCCTTAAGATTAGCACAACAACAGTGCATAGAGAGCTTCATGAAATGGGTTTCCATGGCCGAGCAGCCGCATCCAAGCCTTACATCACCAAGTGCAATGCAAAGCACCGGATGCAGTGGTGTAAAGCATGCTACCATTGAACTCTAGAGCAGTGGAGACATGTTCTCTAGAGTGACAAATCATGTTTCTTTGTCTGGCAATCTGATCGATGTCTCTGGGTTTGGCGGTTGCCAGAAGAACGGTACTTACCTGACTGCATTGTGCCAAGTATAAAGTTTGGTGGAGGGGGCATTATGGTGTGGGGTTGTTTTTCAGGGGTTGGGCTTGACCCCTTAGTTCAAGACATTTTAGACAATTTCATGCTCCCAACTTTGTGGGAAGAATTTGGGGATGACCCCTTGCTGTTCCAACATGAGTTTGGGGTGAAGGAACTTGACTGGCCTGCACAGAATCCTGACTTCAACCCAATAGAACACCTTTGGGATGAATTAGAATGGAGACTGCTAGCCAGGCCTTCTTGTCCGACATCAGTGCCTGAACTCACAAATGCGCTTCTGGAAGAATGGTCAAACATTCCCATAGACACCCTCCTAAACCTTGTGGACAGCCTTCCCAGAAGAGTTGAAGCTGTTATAGCTGCAAAGGGTGGGCAAACTCAATATTGAACCCTACGGACAAAGACTGGGATGCCATTAAAGTTTATGTGTGTGTAAAGGCAGGCGTCCCAATACATTTGGCAATATAATGTATATATTTGTATATGTAGCAGTTAAATTACTTAATCTTAGAAGACTGTAGAGTATCTCACTATATAAGAATATGCATTGAATATGTGAACTGCCCTTACTAACTGTGGTGTATTTTCACAGTGGAAAGAGTCCTATTATTGTTTCATTGTCCTTCACGAAGATTACAAGCTTCATGAACACTGCATTGTTCTTAGTTAGCTATGTAGTTTTGTGTAACATTTAGCTCACATTTAAGAGCTTACTTTCTTTTTTATATTTTTTTATATTAGTAACATATTGTAGTAAATTAAGAATAATAAGTAAATGGATTAATCCTGTTTATATACATTGCACAATTAATAGTACTTCTTTGTGTAATCAACTTAAAAATGTATTTACTATATGTCCAATAATTCTAGTTATAGACATTTTATATCCTTATCCTGATTTATAGTGGGAACACCACACATTTCAAGATTTATATACATAGATAAAACATATATATAATGTGTTGTATGATTAAGTAGCATGTAGGATGTTTAGCTCTGTGGTTAGAGGTAATGAGTTCAGTGGCAGAATGTCATAAACATGTTTTCTGAACTTGGAATGAGGCACAAAAATAGGTCCAATGCCAAGACAGCTGACTTCCAATCTTGATGTGAGGAAGTCTAATCCAGACAAGAAGTTCTATCTGCTGTATTTGGTGAAGTCATTTACAAATACAAGGTGGCATTATTATCTTATTTTTGGAGAGATGTCAAGGTAACAGATATAATTCTATTGTTCAAATTTTGGTTTCGCTGATGCCGAGTACTTACATGAATACTCGTACTCCCCATATCCAAAACCAATACCTTTGTGTTGCAATTTGAGCCCATACAAAATGAGTGGACTCAAATCGCACTGCAAAAAATCACCATGCAATTTGAACAGGAATGCGGTGTGATTCCTGTCCAAATCACATGAGGTTTCCTCCACTGCTTCTATATGATTCCAGTATAGAAAGACAGGGAAGCGCCATCTAATAAGTATGAGAATAGGCAAACAAACAGTTTATTAATGTTATAACAACTCACATGTTAAAAGTACATAATATATCTTGAACAGGGGCGGACTGACCATTTGGAAACTCGGGCACTGCCCGAGGGCCCGGGGGAGTAGGGGGCCCCATGAGATGCCCCTGGTACCTTTTTCTTAGGCTTTTTTGAGTTTGGGCAAGGACACAGGGGCCCCATGATCCCCTATTGCCCGGGTCCCCATGAGTTGTCAGTCCACCCCTGATCTTGAATGTAAAATCCAAAACCATGGCCGCTTGCAGTGCTCACAGGGCTTTAGAAGATGTCTAGGTGGTCCCCCCCAAGCTGACATCACTTCCATCCTAAACCCACAGGGGTCCCGGAATGTTCTACACCTCCTCCAGCCCTGTGAGCACCGCAAGCGCCTGTGGTTTTATATTTGACATTCAAGATACATTATGTGTACTCATGCTAAAGTATCAGTGTCAGGGCTCCCGGGTATGACCAGAGGTGTGTGACTGACGCAGGGAAACGCAGACTTCAGATATGTTATAAACAATACGATTTATTAACACTAACAATACAAACATAAACGCAGTGCAATACTAAACATAATACAGTGCAAACAAACCAAACAAACCACCCACAGATAACAGTACATACAATGCAAGCGTCGTCAGGCAGGCCGGGTCAATATCAATCGGACAGGTAGGTACAGGGGGAGCAAGCGGAGAATGGTCGGGGTCACAAGCCAGGGTCAGCAGGTAGCGGGCAGCGTGGTACAGAGGGTCAGGCAGAGGGATGGTCAGGAACGAGCCGGGGTCAGAGCAGGAGAAGTCAGCAGAGGTATAGATCAGGCCGGGTCAGCAACAAGACAGGAACAGGAATAGGAACAGGAACAGGAACAGAAACAGGAAGCAGGAACAGGATACAGGGCCCAGGAAAAACAACACCAAGGCAGAGTCTGCAGGTCTGGCCATCCCTTAAATACACCAGTATAATCAGTTCCAGGTGTTAGCTGGCTGCAAGGTTGAGTCTCTGATTGCTGGGAGCACCCGCTGGCCAGCCCTGGTACTGCAGATCATAAGGCAGGTGACTCCCACCATTGCTGGCCAGTCCATTCCTGACAGTACCCCCCCCCCCCTCAAGGAGCGGCCTCAGGACGCTCCAAACAGTCCTAGCTGGGCAAAATGTTCCACCGCCCGGGTCTGGTAACTGGCGGGATATCAAAGACTGGCACACCGGGCAGGACTCCGGGCAGCGGCACACCGGGCAGGGGCACACCGGGCAGAGGCACTTCGGGCTGGACTCCGGGCAGAGGCACATCGGGCAGGACTCCGGGCAGAGGCACATCGGGCAGGACTCCGGGCAGAGGCACATCGGGCAGGACTCCGGGCAGAGGCACATCGGGCTGGACTCCGGGCAGAGGCACATCGGGCTGGACTCCGGGCAGAGGCACATTGGGCTGGACTCCGGGCAGAGGCACATCGGGCTGGACTCCGGGCAGAGGCACATCGGGCTGGACTCCGGGCAGAGGCACATCGGGCTGGACTCCGGGCAGAGGCACATCGGATTACCAGGCGAAGCAGCAGGCAGCGGGCCACCAGGCGGAGCAGCAGGCACCGGGCCACCAGGCGGAGCAGCAGGCACCGGGCCCCCAGGCGGAGCAGCAGGCACCGGGCCCCCAGACGGGGCGACAGGCATCGGGCCCCCAGGCGGGGCGACAGGCATCGGGCCCCCAGGCGGAGCGGCGGGCGCCGGACCCCCAGGCGGAGCGACAGGTCTTGGGCCCCCAGACGGGGCGACAGGCATTGGGCCCCCAGGCGGGGCGACAGGCATCGGGCCCCCAGGAGGGGCGACAGGCATCGGGCCCCCAGGCGGGGCGACAGGCATCGGGCCCCCAGGAGGGGTGACAGGCATCGGGCCCCCAGGCGGAGCGGCGGGCGCCGGACCCCCGGAGGCGGAGCGGCGGGCGCCGGACCCCCAGGCGGAGCGGTGGGCGCCGGACCCCAAGGCGGAGCGACAGGTCTCGGGCCCCCAGGCGGAGCGGCGGGCACCGAGTCACCAGGCACGACAGTGGCTCCGAGTCAACTGGCAAGACTGGGCACCGAGTCAACTGGCAAGACTGCGGGCACCAAGCCAACTGGCGGAACAGCAGGCTTCGAGTCGTCTGGCAAGACTGCGGGCACCGAGTCGTCTGGCAAGACTGCGGGCACCGAGTCGTCTGGCACGGGCACCGCGGCAACAGCAGGCTTCGGGACCGTCGTCTGGCAAGACTGCGGGCACCGAGTCGTCTGGCAAGACTGCGGGCACCGAGTCGTCTGGCATTGGCATTGGATCGTCTGGCTCGACAGCGGGCATCGGGTCACCAGGTATGACAGCGGGCACTGGGTCACCAGGCATCAGGTCATTTGGCTCGCCAGCGGGCACCGCGTCATCTGGCAAGGCAGTGGGCACCGAGTCACCAGGTACGACAGCGGGCTCTGAGTCAATTGGCACGACAGCGGGCACCGGATCAGGTACCGGATCATCTGGATCAACAGCGTGCATCGAGTCAACTGGCCTAATAGAATCATCAGGCTGGATCAGTTCATTATGCTGGGTAGAAGCATCCGGCTGAGTAGAGGCATCCGGCTGAGTAGAGGCATCCGGCTGAGTAGAGGCTTCAGGCTGAGTAGAGGCTTCAGGCTGAGTAGAGGCATCAGGCTCAGTGGAGGCATCAGTCAGAGGCATCAGGCTCAGTGGAGGCATCAGGCTGAGTGGAGGCATCAGGCTGAGTGGAGGCATCAGGCTGAGTGGAGGCATCAGGCTGAGTAGAGGCATCAGGCTGAGTAGAGGCTTCAGGCTGAGTAGAGGCATCAGGCTGAGTAGAGGCATCAGGCTGAGAGAGGCTTCAGGCTGAACCACGGAAGGCAGGTTCTCAGACGGTAGGCTCACTGGTTTGGATACTGGCAGGATGGTACTGGTTGGAAAGAATTTTTGCTTTTTTCTGGTTTTAACTACTGGGGCACTGCAAGTAAACGCAGGTCTGCAAATGAATGGAGCAGCTGGAGACAGAGAAGAGCTGGAGGATGGAACAGGGGAAGGAACAGTCGCTACAGAGGGCTTCTTTACAGGGTTAAAGGCAGGATAGGAGCAGCGAGTGGGAACAGGGTACTGACATGCGGTAGATAGCCAAGTATACTGGGCTGTAACTGGAGGAGCTGTTGGGAATGCAGGAGTAGAGCTTTGAGGAAATAGATTAGAAGCAGGATTGGGTCTTTGTAAGCTGACTGAGGCTGGGTGCAACAAATCTGTCCATGTCTGCAGTATGGGTTGAACAAAGCTGAGCTTACACAAAGCCTGTCTGACCAAAGACTGCACTGCGTTTATACAATCTCTTAGTACCTGTGGTGAACATGTGGAATAACGCTCCAGAAAGTAACCCACATCATCCTCTAATAACCATACCAGGGACTCTACCTGGTCTGCACTAAATGGTGGCAAAAATTCATCCCTGCATTCGGGGGTACCAGATGAAACCAACTCAGCACAAACCTCAATCAATGGCTGCACCTCAGAGAACTCTGTGCCCTGATCTACTAGAACATGAGCGAGCCGTATACATTCTAGCAGTTCATCCCGGGTATACTCCTTCAGAGTTTGATAAGCATACTCCATGTCATCAAACACTAGCAGATATAAATACGCAACCTCATCCAGATCCATCCTTCCCATCAACAAACCAAGATGGCTTCCCTGTGCAACCACTTCTGGTCAGGATTGGCCTTGGTGTAATGTCAGGGCTCCGGGTATGACCAGAGGTGTGTGACTGACGCAGGGAAACGCAGACTTCAGATATGTTATAAACAATACGATTTATTAACACTAACAATACAAACATAAACGCAGTGCAATACTAAACATAATACAGTGCAAACAAACCAAACAAAGCACCCACAGATAACAGTACATACAATGCAAGCGTCGTCAGGCAGGCCGGGTCAATATCAATCGGCAGGTAGGTACAGGGGGAGCAAGCGGAGAATGGTCGGGGTCACAAGCCAGGGTCAGCAGGTAGCGGGCAGCGTGGTACAGAGGGTCAGGCAGAGGGATGGTCAGGAACGAGCCGGGGTCAGAGCAGGAGAAGTCAGCAGAGGTATAGATCAGGCCGGGTCAGCAACAAGACAGGAACAGGAATAGGAACAAGAACAGAAACAGGAAGCAGGAACAGGATACAGGGCTCAGGAAAAACAACACCAAGGCAGAGTCTGCAGGTCTGGCCATCCCTTAAATACACCAGTATAATCAGTTCCAGGTGTTAGCTGGCTGCAAGGTTGAGTCTCTGATTGCTGGGAGCACCCGCTGGCCAGCCCTGGTACTGCAGATCATAAGGCAGGTGACTCCCACCATTGCTGGCCAGTCCATTCCTGACAATCAGTACCGTAAAAATACGGTATCGGTGCAACCCTAGTTCAAATGATTATAAATAGAGCCTGCAAGCCTGTATTCTTTGAACTTGCCTAAATTGCTTGTTCCCGGTCAGCCAAATTAATCAACATCATAGGATACCTGGTCTGGTGTCAATCCATTGTTTATATTACTTAATCAGGGAATCAAAGAGTGTTATTCCTCAGTAATTAAATGAAACTAAATTGGAGAGTGGCAAATAAGAGACTTACCTGGCACTTGCAATGTGCTTATTTGCCATAAGGGCTTATCCTGTGCCCATCTCTTATTAAGTTTCAGTTTGTTACAGGGACCTGACTTGCCCTGACTTCATGACTAAACCCAACCAGCCTCCACTTAAAGCCCTTACTCTTTACTAAGGCAGTTGCTTTAAATGGTGAAATAGCAGTTTGATGCCAGAAAGATAGTTGCTAGTTACCAGTTACAAAAAGAAAGAAGAGCACAGAACAACCTTTGTTGGCCAGTAAAGGTAAAAGTGGGCATCTTGTGATGTCTGCTCTTGGGCAGAAATATTAATATAGAGTTTAGGTTCACTTTAAAGAATAGAGGCATTAGGGATGGTATTGGAGGGACAGTGGAATTGTAGTAAAGTGACTGAATCTACTGTACCTGTCAGCTGTACATAAACAGGTTCCAGGGCACTTTGGTCATGTGACCTGCTGCCCTTAGTTCATATAAACTGTAGCAACTCTACAATGTCAAATCGGCCTACATGTATATTACCTGAGGATGGTGGGTGTCAGCTACCCTATATCAGGTGCTGCAGCTTTAAGTCATGGAATTGGAACCAGATTGCCACGACACATACTTATTGCAGCTGACAGTTCCTTTTAGTGGCTTTCCTGCAGCTTGCTCTACAGTGCTTATCTAATTGCTTAAAATGCATCTAAACTTTGGGAGTAGGTCTGCATTAAAACTTTAGCAACTTTTGATAGTTAAAGTAGAAATCTTACCAAAGCTTTGTTTTATTCCTGGATGGAATACGGAAGTGATAAGAACATCTGCCAGTAGCCATGTTCTACTGCTGTATATACAGTTATGTTCAGATTTTTCTTGTTGTGGTGACTGGTGCCACCTAGAGATACAAGTTAAAGGGTATGCCTAGCAAATCTTTTTGGTTTTGGATGGAGTGGGGAAGAGTTAGAATCGCTGCCATTTGGGGCTACGCTACAGAGATTCTGGGGCTACGGTTCAGAGATTTACCCTCACTTCCTGTTCTGCTGACAATGTTTAATCAGACAGGAAGTGAATGGAACTCGCCAGCAGCAACACAGACAGAAATAAAATGCTTTAGTAAACAAGAAGATGGCTAGAACCCCTATGTCAGGGATCCAGGTATGACCAGAGATGTGTGGACTGACACAGGGAACAGCAGGCTTCAGAAATGATGGAATAATAAAATTTATTAGGAGCACAAATATACAAAGGCACATGCAACCAAAAACCAAACCTCCAACTAATAATAGATATGTACAATTGTAGTCAGGGCTGGAGAGATGGAGTGGTCAGGCAGGCTGGGTCAGGAATAATCGGGCAGACAAGGTACAAAAGGAGCAGGCAGGAGAATGGTCAGGAATAGCCGGGGTCGGTGCAGGCGGAGTTCTAGCAGAGTCAGAGTCAAGCAGGAGAGTCAAGCAGGCAGGCTACAGGAAACAGAATCAGGACAACAGGGCACATGGGAAAAACACAAAGGCACTGATTGCAGGCCTGGTGCTGCTTAAATATACCTCCAGCAATCAGCCTCAGGTGATGGCTTGATTGCAGGAGTGAGATCCTGGCTGCTTATAGCAACTGCTGGCAAGCATCGGTACTGCAGCCCACACGGCAGGTGAGTCCATTCCTGACACACCCGCTGGCAAGCACCGGTACTGCAGCCCACACGGCAGGTGAGCCCATTCCTGACACCCTATCAGATTTTTATTCCAATGTAATAGTATAAAAGAGGAGCACCTGGCCCTTGGGTAGAGTTTGGTGGGGATGTATAATAGTAGTCGTTTGTGGGTTTAGTTGGTAAGTATAGTTCGTAAGTTTAGTTGGTAGCTCCCCATCCATATACAGGCCAGTCAGGTGGTCCTTCTATAAATCTTCAAAAAAAGACAAAAGCTCCAAATCACTAGTAATTGTCCTGAATGGTCCCATTAGATGTAGGAGTCAACAAAGGAAAGTCAACATGTTTTGATGGCTACTTATAAAACAGTGGTTCAGCTAGCTTACTGTATACGAGAAGTAAAAATCAATAAAAGCACTTGAAGAAGTACGGTTTTTAAAACTACCACTTCTTAGCCCTGATGAAGGGGAACTTTTGCAGCCCCCAAAGCACATTGGCTTTCTTTTGTTGATTGCTACATCAAATGAGACCATTCTGGGCATTTACCAGTAGATTTTTATTCCTGTCTGTGTCCCTGTTGCAGTCTTTTCTTCATTTCCTGTCTGGTAATATGGTTGTCAGTAGGACATGAAAGAAGGATAAATCTCTCTAACAAAGCCCTCAGATCACAGTAAAAACCACACAGAAATTCTAATCTTTTCTCACTCTATCTAAAAATAGAAAGAAGTTTTTTGGCTTGACATATACTTCAAAAACAAAAATCCTCAGCAGGGCTTAGTAACATAGAGAAAGGTTAGAGCCACTGCTAGGGTTTTATTGTGTTTCTGTCTAAAATGATGAAATTATGATGGAGCTAATGGCAGGCAAGTATGTTTCTCTGCAAATGTTTGGCACTTAGAAGCCCACCATAGCGAAAGTGTCATGTTTATGCCAGTTCTTTCCTATATATTTTGAGCCATTGTTCTAAACCTACAGTTGTGTCTAAAAGTGTGCATACCCTTGGAGAACTGGTAATATACAGAATATACCATTTTTAAAGAAAATGTGAATGAGCATGCATAAACGTTTTCTTTAATTTCTTATGGGATTCCTAGATTGTAAGCTCCAAGGATCAGGGCCCTCTAATCCCTCTTGTATTGAACTGTATTGTTACTATACTGTCTCCCTCCATAATGTAAAGTGCTGAGCAAACTGTCGGCGCTATATAAGTCCTGTATAATATTAATAATAATAAACTTCAGAATGACACAATCCTAAAACAAAACATGGCAACAAGTAAACAAA